TCAAAATGAAGTTTGCTTCAAGTAATTTTCTTTTTGGGCGATATTTTGTTTAGATTTGGAACCCATGCCTCACACTACACTTTCATAGTCCTCTGATTTTCACTTTTTACATCGTAGTAGTACTAACGCTCAGAAAAAGATGGTAGATTGTGAGGAATCAAAAAGAAGTTTATTTCACGTAATTCTTCTTGTTTAGATTTCAAGCACTAAAACTATTCATACCCGTCCAATTTTCACCATTCGGAAAACCGATATAATTTACCCGCGATGCTTTGCGTTTCACTTTCCGTGGTCCATATTGATTTGTTTTACCCTAGCATAATCGAGTCAGCGTACATATTTCTTGTCCAGATGAAATCCGCATCTCCGCGCGACCACCTAAAACTCTTAAACATACAGATAAATTGTCCTTTTCCCCATCAAAACTGCATGATTATGACTCACAAGAAGCAGGGCTTTAACAGATATGGCTGTAAAATCGAAAACGAGGCTTCATTTGAAAGACTTCACTAGGTCGTAATTTCTAGTCATTTATCCTATAGACCTTTCACGTTGAGCTAACTACAGGGTCCGTGAAGAGAATCCAAAACGAAATTTAAGGACTTTTCGAGGACTTTTCAAGGATCAAAATTGTATTTTCAAGGAACATAATGATCATGCTAATTGTACATTTTTATTTCACATATTATTTCACATATCCTCGGCCGAACGGAATAATTCAGAGATCGTTAGCGCTTCGTGATAGAGATACTTCTTTTTCAAGGAGTTTTCAAGGACTTTTTCGAAATTTTCAAATTTTCAAGGAGTTTCAAGTGCCCTTGAAAACTAGTTTTCAAACAAGCACTTTTAAAGGACTTAAGGACGTGCACGGACCCTGTAGCTAGTACTAAGGATGACATCTTTCAACGACAATGAGATAACTATAAATCATGTGTATTTTCGTTGTACTTGTAGCTTTAGTTTAATGATTTAATTTTCAGTCATTTACGATTGAATTACGTGATATTAATACAAAAATAAGGGTAAGAAAAAACGGCATAATAGAACGTTGGATTAAACATCATTCTAGCATATCATACATCATTTTGAATAATGAACATCGACATCAAAATGATGTGTTGAAAATAGTGCGTTATATGATGAAGAATTCAAAATAGGAGTACTTGTTTGAAGAGTTATTGTGACAACGAGCTGTATCTAAACTTCTACATAATGTTAATCAATACTTAGCTGGCTAGCAAAACGGTTGAGCGATATTTGATATTTTGCTTTGTTTAGATATATATAAGTTCGTTTAGTTATTCCACTGAAATCTGATATTCATCGACCTGAAACGAAAGCTATGCTCTAAATTAAAAAGTACTCAGTCTAGGACTGCATGCGCATAGTACTTGCGAGCGAAATAGAAATAAATAGTTTTATAAGGGACTGCGCAATACTTATATTAGGAGAATGGTTTGAGAAATGAGCCAAAAAAATCAAAAAAATCAGTTACTACCCCCTCGCAAACGATATACATTTCACTCTGCTGCCCCCGCAAAGCTTTGCATGTTGACTTTCTATCGGCCATATTGATTGTTTTACCCACGCAGCAGAAGTACATAACCAGAAGTGTCCATTTCCCCAATAATATCGCCACCATCAGATGTCCCGATAATCTATTTTTAGACAACCAATCACAACGCGCGCACATATTACACGGCACCTGATTGGTCCTTGTTGATCTATTTCAAGAGCGGACAAGAAAGGAAAAAATTATGTAGTCGATGGAGGCGAACGAATTGAAGTTCGCATTTACGAGAATTTTACACCTTTTGCTGAACAACCAATTTTGAATTCGATAGAAAACATACTTTAATATATGAGCAATGTAGCGAAGGAAGTTCAAGAGCACTATGGTCTGCGACAACAAGGGAAAAGTTCAGACAAAGACGAAGAAAAATGTAAAACAGCGTGCTAAGAAAAGTAGTGTAAAGTAGCTTCCTTACAATCAAATAGAGCTGGACTTAAACAAAGCCAGAGGTAAAGTAATTTTCGACTGTTAACGTGAGATAGAAAAGCTGTAAATTTTCAGGTAGGCGGGGTTTGTCTTGAAATTTAAGTTAGTTATCGATTTTTCTTTGATGACTTTCCTTGTTTGTGGCTTTTCATAACTTAACTTATCTTGTTTATTGTTAGCTTATCGTTATTACCTATGTACCTAGACCTATTCGCTAGTTTGTTTATTCCTCGCTTTTTCTTTCAAAGAACAACCATTTTTCAACTCCTTACAAAATGAAGAGTTCACAATATAATATAAACATAATTTGAACATTATTTTGCTAAAAGAGTTTTTGATTGACTTTTTGTGACATTTTTCGCACTCGGGCATCGTTTTGTAAATAAGTTTTCCCCTTTTTATAAAGCTATTTAGATCCTAAAATACGTTTACTACAATTATATGTATAGTCTAAGGGCTTTTTAATTCTATTAGAACAGATTTCGTATTAAAACGAGAACAATTCTCGCCACAAAAATCACATTTTTTGCATTTCTTCGCACTCCTTTTGTCTGCATCTTTTTCATCTTTGTCTGAACTTTTCCCTTGTTTTCGCAGACCATATTGCTCTTGAACTTCCTTCGCTACACTGCTCATATAGTAAAGTATGTTTTTTTTTATCGAATTCAAAATTGGTTGTTCAGCAAAAGGTGTAAAATTCTCGTAAATGCAAACTTCACTTCGTTCGCCTTTATCGACTACATAATTTTCCTTTCTTGTCCGCTCTTGAAGTAGATCAACAAGGACCAATCAGATGCCGTGTAATATGTGCGCGCGTTGTGATTGGTTGTCTAAAAATAGATTATCGGGACATCTGATGGAGTCGATATTATTGGGGAGATGGACACTTCTGGTTATGTACTTCTGCCACGCAGACATGATTGAAAGTTTATTTGAGCTTAACTCATTGACGTCCGTGGGTATTTTGTTGATTTTCAAGCATTTTTCGATCCAAAACATTATATTAAAAATTATTTTGACCTCCATATATGGAGCTGTCAATCAAATTTTTCATTAAGCTCAACTAGGTTGTAGAGACACTCTTCTGGAAGAAATCAGAAGTGAGAAGTGATTTTTCGAGGAGAACGGTTGCAGGACGAGGTTTGTTTTGAACTGGAGAGTAAAGTCGCGCGCTTCTCTGTTCCTTTTGTGGCAGATTTCCGAGCATGCCAAAGTAAATTTGGGAAGTTTTAACAACCAAAGAAAGCAATCGGTGTAATATGTTGTCTGTAGGTGCGAGTGACTCGGCACTAGAAAACGAGAATCCTGCATTCTTCATGTCAAAGTTTTAGGCCTTCCCATGATGCTCTTCGGGCGTGCATGCGAGCTTGATGAACTGGGTCTTCAAAACAGAGCTTTTTCTCAATCTGTATAGACTTTGATGTAGTATAAGCGCCGAGACATGAATGTTCTAGAGTTGAGTATCTAAATTAAATGGGCTTTTTGCAGGGAAAATGCATTTTGACACTCGAAATTGAGTGTTTCTCACCTCTATCCGAATTAGTTCAAAATCTAAATTCTGGCAATTCCTTGAAATCCAGGGCCTTTTTTTCCCTGATTTTCTGGTTGATGTGTAATTCTTTGTGCTCTAGGTTTCATTGTATTTACCAGGTGTCTTGTTGGATAAAGGTTTAGGTTCGTGTCGCATGATTTTTAGAAGTTATGATTTTTTAAAAGCATAGAACGAATAAGTCCTATATTAGCATAGTCGGACGGGAAGGAGTTAAATTTAAATTCACGGTTGAGAAAGTTGTACAGAATTGCCCCAAAATCTGTAGAAATTTGCAGATAAGCGTTAATCGTCGAGTCGTGAATAAGCCTTGGAAATCCATATTTTAAATTTAAAAAGATATAGATATTCTTGTTTGATAAAAAGGAAGAACCAGCTAGGATTTTCAGCCGTTGGCTTGGAATTGGGAGCGTCGATTAATCGTGCAATTTGTTATGCAATTCTCTATCACTCTATGATCATATAAAAATCTGTGAAATATCATTATCCTCCGCCCCCCTCCCCTCTGAATCTGTAGAATCGACAGCCAAAATGATATCAAGCCTATATCTCTGAGCTCTTGAGGACACCAGACAAAAGTGTTTAGAGCAGCATGTGACTCCGGCTTGATACGAGCAACGCCGAAATGCTGATTACCCCCCTGACAGTAATTTGCGCAAGAATTAACGGAGAATATATGATATTGCAAAAAAAATATTACAACTATATTAGCCTTTAGGGATTTCATCGATGAAAACAGTGAAAACCCTAATTTAAGTTTGAAGCAATGTGTGTCTTGCTCACGCATACGTACGAAGCTGGCTTAATTTTGCGAATGTTCATGAAATGAAAGAGAGGGCTGAGTTTGTAGTTCCTGGACTGACAAGTTCGCTGTTATCGTCGTCCAGTAAGCTTATTCTTGGAATTGGTGCATAATTAGATAATGTGAAATCTTTGTTTTTGTGAAGATTTTGTATAGAAAGATGATAGATTATCAGGTACCGCGGAGCTGGTACTGCTAATATATTGGCCGCCATTTTGAAAACATTCTTACAATACTCCAATTTCGAATTCTCTTTTGTGCAAGCTTAGCTTCGACCAAGCATAAATTGTTTATTGTCTTCTTTGTACACAGAATGTTTGCATTACAATAGATTCTCTGCCGAATAAAATAATATACTACATGCTTTCGAGGTTAAGACTGCACGAATAAGATCTTGAAACTGGAGTATTCATCTGTCGCTTGTCAAAAGTTGCCCCGTTTCGATATTAYCCCCCAAGTAAAGCGAGGTGAGGGTCAATGGAARAGTTAGTGTTCATACACGATTTTCTAGAAGTACGGGTACATTAAAATGGGTCATATGCATACTTCATACTAAAGAATTTAAAGGCTCGACCGAGATAATTCTGATAACATGCAAGAATCTCCAAAATCGACGATTCGACCCCTCATAAAATCCTGACTATTCAAAGTTATTTTTTTCATGTTTTTATTCATGTCTTTATCAGTTTTCCTTGGAACTTAACGCTGAAATAAATTAAAAAGAAAAACATCACTTGATATAAACCTTAATATATACCTTTAGTAGTATACGGGTGCGGGTAGGTTATGKGTATGGGAACGGGATAGGTTATGGGAATGGGGTAGTATATGGGTATGGGAACGGGTAGGTTATGGTTCTTGGGTAGGTTATGAGTAGATATCTGTACAGATAATGATATYATAAATTTTGGAAATTATGGACTTCTTTTCTATGGACTGAGARTTAAACCTTACCCTAGGCCCAACTCCAACCCTTACCAGTACCTATAGACCGAAACGGTGTTTCTCAAGGTATGATGTCATAGTTTGTTTAAGGTACTAGCGAAAGCAGGAGAGAACATATCTCTTGTATGTTACCTATTAAGCATGACTAAAGACAACACTATCTAACATTTTATACGTACGCATTTCCCACAACTTTTCTTGCAAAGAGKTCCTGAAACTGGATGAYTGCAAGTGGCTTTTTTAAGAGCTGGAGTGCTTGTTTGTGCATTGCAAAAGCGATCATTCCAATTCTTACATCCTAAAAAMRGTCAAATATAAAATAATCATATGATWTAGGCTGATTTTACTAAGAAAAATGAGTTTCGATAGGAGCTAGAACACCCACTTGAAAATTTAAATTTATTCCACAGCATTCTATTCATGATTATCAAATTCATTCATAGTTCATACGGCAAACACAATGGAAAATYATTGCCGTGACCACATCTCTATATAAGCAAGAGATTTGTCCTGATTTGCATACGACTTTAACTTCGRTTTTCTATRAAAAGTGACATTCCATCTCGAAGTTTTTAGCAACATATGCTTTAGCTTATGTTTGAAATTGTTCTAGATTTCAGCTCACAGTTGATCCCCCTCTCATATTTTAYGATATTATTTAACTTTCTAATTGCTCATCCGCAAAACATGCTCTTCCTGGCTTATTCATTTTGTAAAAAACAAACACAGTAGAAAACCCACGTATAAGAACCTAACATTTAAGAACCTCTAAAAATAAATGAGTCCTCTGCGTTTACTAGTGATATTTTTTAATACCGAGCTTTCGGCCTAAGCGGCCATTATCATTTATTTTTAGAAATTATGCCTGCGTACAAAGAAATTCTAAACATTTAAGAACCTGTTAGGCTAAAATTTCATTTTTAAGCACCCTTCACACAAGAATCATTTTAGGCTAGGATAAAATTCTAAAACAGGTTCTTATTTTGAAAAACAAGGAAAAATAATCTTCTCAAAATATCGAAATAAATATCTCTCAAAAATATATTTATACACAGTCTGTACACATTGATTATAATAGTAGTTAGAGCATAGTTGCATAAAACTAGTGAGTGAACATTTTATTTGAAGAGGAACTTTATCATGTCATGTTGTTTTGTATACAAGATTTATAAGGAATTGCAGTGAAGGTTACAGAATAGGTTTTGATTTTAACAGTATTGTAGTATTTTGCTTACCGAAGCCTCCAAGAATTCTGTTATTAGACATAAAAGACCGCATCGTTTTAAAATTCTTACTTTTCTTCTTGAACAAAAGTTAAGAACCTAATTAAGAACCTAGTTAGCCTAATTTTACACTAAATACCATCTATATAAGAAACTGTTTAGGCTAACTAGGTTTTGTATACGCGGGTTTTTACTGTATGTTGATGTGAGGTCAATGCTCGACTAGATAGATATGCCGGATGTRTTTTCCATAGTTTTGCAACCCATAACTTTCAATTATGATGCAAGCATATCGAAATATGTTGGCTTAGTATTAATTATTTTTTTTTAGTAATTATGAATATTATTAAGTTTTTTAAAATTTCAGTTCACACTTCGCCCCATTGTTCCGCAAAATTGTACTTCCAATAAAATCCAGAATCTAGACGCTTTTAGCAACGCCAACTTAAATAAAAAAGTATGATGGAACTTCTAGGCCTGCTTGCRCTTTTGTCATGACCATGAAAAAAGTTCGACTAACAATTTTAGCCTTTTCTTTGAAAAATGGAAGAAGTTGTTCAATTTCGACCAAGAAAACATAAACGCGGCTTTTAACGAGAATTTCAGGGACAAGAAAAAGTACGACGACTACATCTACCATATATCATGCYTTGGCGTAGAAAATGCCGTCTCTGCACACATTGACTATTGTATTGCAGTTCGATTTAATAGATTAATTAGTTGAAAAAGGAGGAAAAACGTGCAGCTTGGAATCCAGGATGCCTGTCATTTCCGTATCTAATTTCAATTGCTTGTAACTCATAACATTGTTGAAAACATTGAATATATATCCAACATTACAGATCTCAAAGGCAAGATTTAGAAGGTTCTGTGGTCACTCTGGTCACGTAGACTTTGATTTGGTGCACGTCACTTACCTCCGGGTGGTGGAGGAGGAGGTGGTGGAGGAGGTGGAGGTGTCCCAGGTGGTGGTGGTGGAGTTGGAGGTCCTGGGCTTGGAATTGGAGGTGGAGGAGGCGGTGGAGGACCATTTGTGGGAGGCATAGCTGTGTAAAGACAATCATTAAAGAGCATATGACATGGTAAACTTTCTTTCCTGTTTCTAGTAGTTCAATATATATGTATCAAAGTTTGATAAGTCAAACTGTCATGTTTGGACTATAAACCATATTTTTTTCGGCCTAAAGATGGCARATTTGATAMAAAAAGTGTCCCGGAGACTGGTAACTAGTTTYAACCGGAAGTGACGTAAAAGTGYATACTATTGCAATCACTAGTCTACAAAGTGCTTAGTATGGACGATTATAGCTCTTATCCACAATCTTYGGATTCTTCAGAAAGCGACCATTTATCTGACATATCAGAAGATGAAATTGTTGAAGGTATAATGCCTTATTGTGACGAACCTTTGGCTGAAGACGATAGAGAAGAYGGCCGACCAGATACTGACGACGAAGTCGACATCGATGGATTGAAACCTTCCGAGCTAGAGTCAAGATTTGAAAACATTGTGAAAGTTGATGAATGGTAAATGATTTAACTATTATATTTCTTTTAAAATAAGACTTCATTCTAACTGATAGTGGCATCTAACTTATGCTTTTTTGCTCGTTTTGTATTTAGGTGTCGATGTCAACAATGTCGAAAGGAACACTTATCTGACGCTCTAGAATTTAGATGCTGCCACGAAGTAACCAATGCARTAGGAAAGCTGGTCTTTGACGGCTCGATTGAAAGAATAAAGTGCATAACACAGCAYGAAGATTTCAATTCATTAATAAACAAGATCTTGTTGCAAGTAGCCCCGTTGCTACGTAACCAAGATGGCCGATCTTATAAACGACTCGCCGGAGTAACAGAGAATGAGTACGTTCTTCTACAGTTATTTTGATGTCTGAGGTCTGTAAACCTCTAAAAAATGAAGCGACTAATTTTTCCTCTTTGTTCATTATCAGATTTATACGAGCAGTAGCATACC